GTTGTCTGTCAACTGGAGGACACTGGAACCCATACAACATAGACATCACAGTGAGTTCATACGCTGTAAACTGTGCTCCCGACAGCCCTTTTGCTTGTGAAGTTGGGGATATCTCTGGCAAGCACAAGACTGTGGACCTACAGCCTGAGATGGGAACAGTGGCCACCAAGAACTTTTTTACTGACACCACTTCTTGGGTATCTGGAATGATTGGACGTTTTGTGGTGATACATGGTCCAAACCAAACAGGTCCACGGATCGCTTGTGCAAACCTCACCTTGTACCGTTTTCCATCCGCTCGCTCGGATTCTTGGCTTGGACCTGGAACCTCTGAAGGTCAAATCCGATTCTCCCAAGTCTCTCCTCAAGGATCAACAATCCTAAATATCTCTTTTACCGGGCTTAATGCGAGAGCCGGTGGCTACCACATCCATATTCTTCCAATCAAAAGCACACAGGAACCTTGCTCGGACACTAACATAATGGGACACTTTAACACGTTTTCTGTCAATGCAGCCTCATCTCCAGCTCCAGGAAATGGTACGGTTGACCAGTATGAGATTGGAGACATCAGTGGGAAGTTTGGAGACCTGACCGGTCAGAACAACTTTCAGAATCAGTACACGGATGGAAATATGCCACTTTCAGGACCGAACAGCATAATTGGCCGGTCTCTGGTCATACATTACACCAACAGCTCAAGGTTAGTTCCTTACGAATCGTACATCCTCAAACAGTCACCTGGCACAGTGTTTTGACCTCTGAAATAAATATAAGATATTAGTTTGCTTCTCTTCTGTCAGAAGCAAAACCATAAATAAGTGAGACAGGAAAACAACTGCAGGTGCAGGTCGTGATACAATTGATTCCCAATTCTGCATTTTGTCTCAGTTCCTCAGTTCCTCTTTGACAATCTGCGGCATTAGCCACATTTAACTGACAACAAGATATTTTTTTTAATGCTGTCAGATATCTGAAATACCTAAAAACCAAACTGTCATGAAAAGCATGTGTGGGAAGATTCATACAGCTCATTCCTCTACACACATCGTTCATTGTTTATCTATACAAGTAATACAGATTTCTTTGACACACCCAGGAAAGTTTCAAAACTTACTTGAACATTATCAACTTAAAATGGTTTCTTCCACTATTTACAGAATGCGGTGTGCAGATATATCAGCAGAAGACTCCCCAGATGGAAACTGGGTGATGGCCAAGGCCATGTTCAGTAGTGCTGTAACTGAGACAGTGACGATGGTAAAAATACAATTACATAATTTAAGCAGATTTTTGTAGGTGTTGCTTGCCTGTTCATAACTTTTCTGGTTTTGCTGGTTGGTTGCCAAGACTATGTTGCTAAATGGCTTGAATTGCCTGTTTTGAATTGTTTTCACTGTTCCTATGGTTCCCTAAATTAGAGGGAATTGTGAAAAATAAGTATCTGCCTCATCTCTACTCTCTCCCACACTAAAGTGGTTTAAATCTACCATCACTTTAAATCTGCCACAAAAAGATGACGCTGCTAATAATGCTGGATAGAGGAGGATGGGGTGGAGAGGGAAGAGGGGTAACTGGGTGAGGCTGTGGTTGTGGAGGGGTACAGCTCTTGTCCTGCTGGGACAGTATGCAGGCAGATTGATCTGTCACATGCCGCACAGCAAACCAGCAGCTGTCTTGTGGTCTTGGTTTTGCATGCGGAAGAACGATACACATGGTTTACAGCAATGAGTAATAATTTTATATTTATAAGACATTTTGTCCAAAGCATCTGGTGCATTTAAGCATGTCTTTAACTTTTTTTTTAAATCTTTGCCACCACCCAGTCCTGAAATATTGCAGTACTTTATAACGTTTGCATATTATATTACTATTATATATATATATATATATATAAACAAATATTAAATGGGTTATTCCGTGTCAACTCAACCAGAGGTCCTCGGCTTAAATTTTTGATTTTGCTAATATTTTTCTGAAGAAAGATAAACATGTATAGTGATGAAAGCCAAAATATTAAATGTCATAGATTATTATTTACCGAGTAATCCACTGTTTTGTAGAGGCGAGTCAAAATGGCAATTTTCACCTGAGATTCAGAGCCAAATTACAGTGCTGTAGAAATGACTTCAGAAAGATGGCAGCATCTTTCTTTTATTTTTACACAGAGATTGGTAGGTCTGTTAAAATCTGTTGACTTTGATCTGCATTATGTGCCAATGGTGGAAAGAGCACTTTGCTAGTTTTTTCCTCCAAAGTTTGCATGCCTATAACTATTAAAGATATTTAAATGCCCTTTTAGACATTGTGTCTTAACAAACTTTCCATTTGGCATCTTCATTTTTTTATGGCCCTGTATGGTTTGAGATACTGCAATTTTCAATATGGCTCCATTTTGGTGGGAGGGGATCAAAATGGCTATTTTCAGAGCCAAATTACAGGGGTGTAAAAATGCTAAATCAAAAATTTAAGCTAGGGAAGTTTTTGAAATTTGGTTGATTTGACACAGAATGTCTCAACTGTAATAAATTAATGCTAATGATACACTGTACATGTCATTAGTCCCAGCTAACCTTTCCAGATGGCAGCTATGGTGACGTTATATTGGAAGTGGATGTGCGGGCATCACAACTATCAAATGTAAGATACATTTTATCAGCTTTTTTATTAGTTATGTTAGCTATCACAATTAAATGTCATTTCGTTGAATAAGAGGAAATCTGCTATTGGTTTCCAGCTTGCAGAGGCTTCCTGGTACGATGCTCATCTGACACATGTATGCATTGACCAACAATTAAAAATAGCTCAATGTTTAATGATATGGAAATAAAATGAATAATATATTGTTATACAATATGCTATTCTATAAATATCTGCAATATAATATATATTCTATAATGTGTAAATATACACATAAATATTGTGTAATTAAATCAAATATAATTTATTAGTTATTAACAGCCATAGAATGTATAAATAATATTAATAATTAATGTTATAATTAGACAGGATCTAGGTGCAGTAATGTTTATTTGCAACTAAACCAAAAATAACAAAGAACTCAAAGGTTAGTCAGCAGTCTTAGGTAACACGAACAGAACAACCACATTACCAGTGACAATAACACACAAACTGCGGGCTAGATATACACAAACTAATGAGGGGTAAAACAAGACAGGTGTGACTAAATGAACCAATGAGTAACCATGGTAACTGATAAATACAGACAAAGGAAACTGATCTAGAAACGGTGCAAACTAACAGGATAACTCAAACCATGAATGACAGCGACAAACCAACTCAAAGTACTACAGAATCAAGTATAGTGAGTATAGTCATGTATACCCACTGAGCAAAGGTACGTTGAAATGACGTCCCCTGAAGAGCCAGAATTAAAGTTTTTATGACGTCTTTAAGGTAAAGGTAAAAATGTAGTTCAGATGTGGTCATTGTTGGACGTTTTTCAACGTCTTATAAGGTCAACTGCAGCCTCATTTAGACGTCATTTATACTGTTTCTGGACAAAATAAACACTCAATTCTGCATTCAATTAAAACTCATGTTTTTTTCAATGTAATTTTTATTTGTACAGGTAAATCAAATTACAGATTCAGTGTATTTGTACAAAAACCATGAAAACAAAAGAAACTTCACTTACTGTACAGTGGATAACAATTAACAAATAATTTAAGATTAGTTGTGT